TGGGATTTACTAATTTCAAATTTAGTAATTTGGCTGCTGATTGAGTGGAAAAAAAATAACCCCTTCGGACCTTGTTCTGCTTAATTACATTTTATAAGGCAGCCGGCAACTCCAAAGACAAGAAGAGAGATTGTGAAGGCTTAAGCTTTTCATCTGTTATACTCCTATTTCAAATCTGCATGCAGTATGTGGCATGCTAGCCATCAAAACCATTAAAACCCACCAGAAAACCTTATGATGGTGTGGAGCAGACACAATCCATCTGAAGTGGGGATATGCTAAACTACATATTTTTTAACTATACCTAGAATATCTATTGCTATGGCAGACACTTTTATCCAAAACAACTTATCTCTGAAAACAGGACTTTACACTGTAAAAAATATTTTCAAGATTTGTTATCACAACATATTTTCTTTTGTCAAATCAACTTTATAATAATTTATTTAGTTGAGATAACTTATTATTTTGAGTTTCTGATGGTTAAATTAATCTCCTTCATTTTATTAACTCACTTTTTCCAGTTCAAACAACTTAAAATTTTAAGGCAACCAGGTTACTAACTTTAAGTTAAACCAACAATATTTTTTTTACAGTGTAGTAATCACAACATTTTTTCTTTTGTCAAATCAACTTAAATAATTTATTTAGTTCAGATAACATATAATTTTGAGTTTCTGATGGTTAAATTAATCTCCTTCATTGTATTAACTCACTTTTTCCAGTTCAATGAACTTAAAATTTTAAGGCAACCAGGTTACTTACTTTTTTAAGTTAAACCATCAATATTTTTTGTGGTTGTTGCTGCTAAAGTAGGCCGAAACTGCAGTTTTTTATACTTTCACCTTGTTTCGAAACCTGAAACAACATTCAAGCAATCCATATCTGCACCTCCTTCCCTTCCATCCGTTTCCATCACGATGGAATGGAAGAATCCCATAAAGGCAGAAGTTCTACACAAACGCAGTTATAAAACGCACATCTTGCACAGATTTAGCCGTTTTACACAGCTACCACATTTTCTCGAAAGATCAATTATGACGTGACTCAGACCCAGCCTGAGGGAGCTGCCAGACTTCATACGTCGAGTGCTCCACCCTCTCTCCCGACAACTGCAAACAAAAAACCCCAGCAACACAGATGTGAGGAGTCTGGGGGTGTATTTTCTCTTTCAGTTACATCGGTGACTCAATGATTCCACCAATCTCAACCAAAAAAACAAAACAAGACTCCAGGGGCAACTAAAGCCAGCCAGGAGAGTTTATTAAAAAAATATATCTATCTATGGACAAGGTTTCTTTATTTGCTCCGTTTCAATCTCAGCATTAACTGCACTAATGTGACAGCTGTGGGTCACTGGACTCTGTCTTCAGGGTGCCAATCAAGAGCTTAAGCCCGGGAATCAAGCTTAAGGACGGGGGTGCTCGTCTGTTTCTGAGAGGCTTTTTAAAGGGAGATGGCCATATCGATTTTAGCCGTGGCAGGGAGCACCGTCTGAATGGAGTCAGTCGGTGGCTCCCCGGTCACCCCCCAGTGATCAGAGGCCTGACGGAATGACCTAGCAGAGGTGCGGTGAACCTGCAAACATGCAGGGCAGGATGGGAGCACATCATGAGAGATCACTGTAATAGAAAAGGGGTTTAACCTTAATGTTGAAGCCAAAACCCTGTTAGAGGGCCAGTAATCCCTCCCGCTCAACTCTCATTTCAAGTGCTTTTCTGGCTGGAAAAGGCAGCGTTGTGCTGGGGTTGCTGCGGCGGGAGCGTTCACGCTCTCGAAGACGCAGCGCTGTGCTGTTAATCAAAGCGTGGGCCTCGAATCTACATCTTATTAACAGACAGACTCCACTTTCCACTCTATTATTCCTTGCATAGTTCAAACCCCAGCGCCGTTTCCCATAATGCCCACCCTGCGAGAGAAATAACACCGAGCTGATGGTCAATGAGTACAATCAGAAATGCTAATGGTGTGCTAAACCTATAGCTCACAGATGTGTAGATCACCTCTTATCGGAGGTCATTTAAATAAATTTCACACTCATAAATCTGCAGAGCTCCAAAAGGGCTTCGGCACTTTGCGAGGACGCTAATTGAAATGCTGGGAATTTTTACATATGAAATATGTCTACACCAAGACAATGAGGAAATAATTAGCACAGAGGTAGAATCACAATGGCCATTTTAATCAACCCCTGCGCTAGCATTTCACCCTATTTATTCCAGTTTTGATTCCATGACCCACGGCTAAGTAATCACTTGAAAATTACTCCTCTGTTCTAATGGGCTCTTGCTTTTCTGAAAAATTAGCATCTTGAATCAATCAACTCTTTCTGATCGAAATTAAGGCACTCTTCAAAAGTGAATGCAGGTGAAATGCATGTGATTTGATTTTGAGGATTAACAGCAAAGCTAAATTATGAATGTCAACAATAAATACCTCATCCAATGTAACCCCTGCGTGAGACAACAAAAATTCCACACATAACGCAGAGGCGTTGTCATCGTACAGAATGATGTAAATAAAAAATGAATTCATTCAATGAATTATTCAGTGATTAAACACCTCTCGATCATTACATCATTACCCTGAAATTCTTACAGGCCAGAACAAGTTTTTCTGTCGTTCAGCTGAGAGGTTCGCCACATCCCACACATATGAGACTGAATGTGTAATGCGTTTGTTCTCGTGTCTCTACTGGACTGTCTTTTTGGAGCCTAATAGAGAAGTATGCGATTACAAATGACACCGATAACTCAAGCAGAGGACATTTAACCATAGTCCATTTTTATCTGCCCATGTAAGTCAATGGACAGTGCTGAATAAGTGCGATTCATCTTTAGACAGTGAATTCTGCTAGCAAATTAAAATGGAAATATGATAATAAAAAAATATATATATTTAAACTGTTGTAAAGTGGCCAGTCAAGTTGATTTTCTATAGATTTCCTGCTCATACTTCCCAATCCAATTAGTGCACTGCCTTACAGCCCTGCTCCATCCATACTTAGCCAGACAGCCCCTTATACTGTACATGGTTTAGTCACATATTCTAGAGCCGTATGCAGATATCCGATCACTTATAATTATTTGAGATTTAAAACTAGTCAAAGTGAACCAAATGATTTGGGTTCTGTAAAATCTATTATGCTCACCAAGGCTGTAGTTATATAACAAAAAGTACTGTATTGAAATATTAATAGAGTTTAAAATAACCATTTTATTAACTTATTCATTCATTATTCATGTGCTGGTAAATCAGAGATTTCAGCCTTTCGCGTAAACAGTGCAGCGCTACCGGAGGTCAGAACGCTGGCTCAGGTGTCATAGTGCTCATATGAACGGTGTTGGAGACTGACAAGTAAGAGAAGAAATTGTTGAATAAAGTCATTATTTGTGTGCACAAAAAGTATTCTCGTCACTTCATAACATTAAGGTTGAACAACTGTAGTCACATGGACTGACAATGTCTTTACTACCTTTCCGGGTCTTGAAAGTGGTTATGACATTGCTGTCTCTGATTTCATCTAAAATATCTTAATTTGTGTTCTGAAGATGAGCAAAGGTCTTAAGGGTTTGGAAAGAAATGAGGGTGAGTAAATAATGACAAAATTTTCAATTTTGGGTGAACTAACGCAAATTATCAGTCAGTGATTATACATCACTGACTGATAATTTGAAATAGAAATGTAAATGTCTTTGCTTGTTACTTTTGATCAATTGAATGTGTTCTTGCTGAATAAATGTATTAAATAAAAGAAAAGTTCTTTTATGGCAAACTTGCATCTTCTGTGGAAGGAGTTTGCACAGTCCATCAGATTTCCACACAAAGAGACTGTGGGAAGTGGGTGTGTCAGGACTTTTTCCCCCTCCAGAAACAAGTGGTGAGAATTTTCCAAACACATCCTTTGTTTCAAATCTTTGTTTCCCTAATTATTTCCAACCGACCAAGTAGTGATGAGTGAGATTTTCCATCACTCCTCATCCATTTGACTAAAACAATACCCTGACTTAGTTCTGATCCACCATTGATCTCATGCAGAGGAATAACCTCCAAGATGTTATCAAGCTCAACATTTTTAGGTACACAAACCCATACAAGCCGAACAAGAAAAGTCTCTATGATGCAACTCCATGCTTTACCAGGTAAGAGAGATACTATTTGAGTACATTCTAGTGCTCAGCCTTGATTTCCAAATCCAGGCCAACCAAGGGCCAAACCTCAATGGGATATCCTTGCTCACAAAGCTTTCAAGACTTTGGCAGGAGAACAACTGAAAGTAACAACTTCACTGCAAGTTGGTTCAAATTCAAAGACACTGGTTCAAATCCGGTACATTTTCTTTTAATCAACACTTCACTAAAACTAATGCTACTGCACCTATAGCATTATCTTACCAATGAAAATAACAGAGCAAAGCGCAGATTACGCATTATCATAATCTCAAATCAAAGATACACCCAAAGGCAAAGTATATCAGCGCAGCAGTAAATAATGAAACGAATTATCAACACAGTAAACGTTTTAAAATCACATCAGTGATTTCCAGATGTAAGCTTCAGTTTTCAGTAGCGCAGAACTGTAGAAAATGCTGACAAAGGTTGACGTCAGTTGATAATCCAAATGAGATTGGATCACAAACCCTTTGAAGTTTATGGTAAAGTATAGACTGGTAACAAATTAAATGCTTTATATGGAAACAGATCTGTTTCACATATACATCACTGACTGATAAAAAAAAGGTTCAAGACTAGATATTTCTGACTGGATAAAACTGATAAGAGAACCGTTTTTTTTTTCTGCCGACATGGCACCTGCTACACTGCATTGGTTATAGAAAGTGAAAGCCATGAATCATACTCAGTCGAGTGAAGACGATACTTGCAGGCAACATTGGCCAAAAATATGCAAAAACAACAGTTACTGGAGTCTAGCCAATGATGTCAAGCAAGTATGACTAACATGTGTTTGTAGACATGACTAACACATTTGTCAGCACTTACTTCTAACAAGACCATCATGGGTGTGGTTCTCGCCTGTCATGTGACCCTGCTCGTCTGAAGTGTGATCTCCTGGTATCGGAGTTCGGGATGTTTCTGTAGCATCTGAGGATTCATCAGAGCAGCTGTTGCATTTATCTGGGCAAACAAAAAAATTAACAAAACACAGTCATATTTTAAATCTCAGAGTTTAGCTGCCAGAAGCCAAGCATGCAAAAGGCCAATATTGACTCGCCTAAGCCTCAAGAATAGAAAGACAAGCTCTAATTTGCCAGATAAAACAGATGCCTTTGGTGAACAGTTGCAAAACCGTGTGGGCGGATCAGGTAGGCCCAGGCCAGAACTCTGGATCTCATTTTCTCGATTCTGCTCCTGGGTACACAACACCTGCCAAGGTTTTTACAGCTATAAAGAGCGCATTCATCTAAATTGGAAAATGGATGTGGGCAAAACCTGTCTGATAGGCATACAAAGACATAGGCAACCTTTAAACGCTGCACTTAAACTTATTCAGCTCCCAATTCCATGGAGTAAACGAGATGGTGCGCTTCTCTGATTCGTGCTATTTGTGGCGGCCCTGGATGTGGCCGCACACGTACAGTACAGAGGCTTGCTCATTTATTTAGTATTGTCAAAGCAGTTCTGTTGCACAAACCTGTACTTTTCCATCACTCAAGTGCATTCTGGGAAAAAAAGCATGTGACTCAGCAAACAGAAGCTTGTTTTCACTTTTGGCGAGCATAGTGTTTGGTTTAGTTCGTTTTTTTTCTTTTTTCTACAGCCCTCGTTACAGCGTATTATGGGACAAGATCAATACAATACAGTACCTCTAGATACAGAGATTGATATCACTTCATCTGGGCTTGAGGCTGATGAATGGAAACCCTTTATTCCAGCCATGACTCCTCAAATGCGCATACTGTACCAGCAGCCTTGTGATGCATCGCTGTATTTAGTGATTACAGTTTGAAATAAATTGCTCTATTCTCTAAGCATACACAGTCCCCGGGGAGGGAAATCCAGTCTTAACGGAGAGACTTTGAAGGCCCTACAAAAATCCATTTGTCACCGGAACCTGTGATTGCTTACTTTGTCCTACTTTGCCATTTTTTGACAGTGCTATAATGATGCTTGGTATAAATAGGATGGTTAACGGTTCAGTGCCTAAGAAAAAAAAAAGAAGAAGAGGGGGGCCAAGCTTATTTTACATGTGATAATCTCACAAGCAACTAGAAAGTTAATTAAAAACTATAATTGGCAGTGGTTCCTGCTAATAGTTACCAAGGCGCTCCTTCAATCTTTATTGGAAAATAATGAAAACATTATCATGCCTACTGGCGCAACATACATGCGGGGAATCTGTTTGCTAGTTGCCATTTATGCAAGTCAGTTACTGGTGGGACACCAGGTAAAAATCAGGAGATAAATCAGTCAACATTATTAATGATTGTCAATAAGGTCATTCAGCAAATATTTTCAATTGCCTGAAATAATCACAATGGATGTGGTCAAGAGATTTAACATGTTAAAAAATAATTAAAAAAGGAAAACTGCTCTAACAATCAGTCTCATATTTAGGCAAATGATCTGTCAGATTTAAGTCAAATCCAATGACTTTTCGTAGACCTAAAATTATCAAACTGAGTTATATTATTAATTGTTTAGAGGCACACACAAGCAATACCGTCATATAAATAAAGTGTGAAGCTTTTATGTTGCTTTATTGTGCAAAAACTCACTTTTTTCATAGACCACCAGAGTGTAGGCTACTACTTAGCCAATACAAACATACAAATCACCATTTTGTGCAGCAAAATACACTAATTAGGTATTCAACTGAATATGAATCTCACAAATAGAAACTTAATATCTTACCTCTGTTTGACAGAAGTTGGTTTGTCTCCTCATGAAGCTGCTTTTTTGGCCCTTCAGGCCCCTCCGGAGGTAAAATAGTCTCCGAGGACATGAGCCAGATATTTAGATACTAAACACACCCAAAAACAACACTGCCCCACGCAATTAGCCCTCAAACCTGTAAGATAACAACAAACTATTATGATAACATCAAGCGCTGATACACTGCGTCAAAGTAAACAAACGCGACCAATATCTTTCCTATGGAGTGACGTCATCCACCGAAATGTCGTTAAACTCGGTGGAAAGTTTTTCTTAGGTTTGTTCTTCTCTAACGAAACTAAAAATCTCGCAAACACACTCCTAAATATCTTACCAACTTGTTAAGTCAATATTATTTGTTTGGCAAGCATGTAACAGATCATTTCAAAGTTGGTTGATTACCTTTCAAACATGTCAACTGAGAAACTCCTTTATTCGCATCCTTTCTCCGGCAAAACCGGCGTGCCGTTAGGAAAAAGTTTCCTTAATACCCTGCTTAGAATCAAAACTCCGTAAAAACTATCAGATACCTCCCCAAAATAGTGCAAAAATCCCTGTCAGGCAGACGCTGGATAGTGAGTTTGTGCGCGAGAGTCCCGCGCGCTCGAGCTCCTGCTCCTGGAGAAACTTTGAGCTGAAACATTTTCATCACATCCGGATTCCGATGATCACAACCAGCTGCATTCATACATTCAGAAGTTCCAGCCGAGACTGTGTGAATTGTTCGTGAGACTGTTTATAAAAGAGCATGTCTGTCTGTCTCTCTCTTGTTTACCTAGCGATATGAAGGAGCACGACTTGACTTCTGTTGTTCCCATTCAGACGAGAACCATCAAACTTCTTGATTTGTTTTTTTTTTTTTTATTACCAGCCTCAGCAATTTCTCTGATATCAAATAAATGAATGGCTTGCCTTACATGCATAGACTTTAATAATAGACTTTCTGTTCTGACCCTTTTCAGTTTTCAAAAGGATTCCTTATTTATGATGAATATGGTAATTATTAACAGTAGCCTATCTTTAATAAATCTACACTCAAATAAGAGTTCACACAGAAAATAGCCCACAGAGTGCGTGCCATTTCTGTTTATTATTGCATTGCCTTGTGTTTTATGGTTAAGGGAAATTTAAAGGGATAGCCAAAAATAATAATAATAATAAAAAAATACAATTCTGTCATTAATTACTCACCCTCATGTCATTCCAAACCCGTTTACGTTTACGCAAGAACCAATGATGTTCATTCTGTTCAATGTTTATACAGTAGGTGGATAAAAGCCTAATCTGATCATCCTAAAGAAGTGATTGTGTCTCTTCAGAAAGCTTGTAATCCGCCCAATTCATATAGATTAATAATATGTAAGACTGGAAAACTGTGCGGTCTATGAGACGAAGGACCTTGGCGAACTAACATTTGAACTCTCACACACACACTTGTTCCCCACATCCCCCACTCTTGCAGAGATCACCCAAACTAACATAAGAATCCATGGTTTTAATTTGAACAACTATCAACTATCATGTGTTTATACATGTGTTTAGTATTATTTGAAATGTCTACAAGTGTGACGGTACAAGTGTCCTATTTCCAAATATGTAAAACAAAAGGTAATAATGTTTTTAAGTGTATTTTGATAACATACCCACAAAGGAGGGTGGATGGGTAAACCCTCCTGCTCTCAGAAGGTGTGAACTCAATGCTAATTTCCACTGTTAGAAAATACCACTATACCTTCAGCCCCAGTAAGTTTGGGGAGGGTGAACACAGTAAATTTCCACTGTAAACTCATGTTTACATATGAAATGAGGTCTGGCTATATAATGAAATGCAGCGGCAGGATCAGGGCTTTTCTGTATCGGGTAAAGGATTTTCTTATTTGTTCTAGAACATTTGATGGTTTGCATTGATTATCTTTCATTTGATTATGAAATTGTAATAATACATTTACCTGACATAATTAATTGTTATATTTGATTATTCTAACAGACTTTATTTTCATTAGAGTTAAAAGGAATGGTCAAACATTCACATAGATTTAATGATGCACAGACATCATTGAAAAACCTTTTCATTTATGGAGTCAGATGAAATAACGAGTTAATACATAAGATAAAATGGATTGCATTTAATTAAAAGTCCCTTTGCCATGAGAAAAGACAGAACACGTGTGAGACCTCTAATCGAATACCGCCATTGGATCGAATTAGACAGCCTTACATACATATATTCTTTCTGTTGCGATTGAATCACTGCTTACTCAGAGTCTTTAAAACCTTTACATTTTCAGCTGTCTGAAATCTGCACGCATATACACAAAGAGCCCTCAACTGATTCAGTCCATTCTCGTGGTGGCCTTGCTAGTGCATAAAGCCTATGAGCATGGAAGTGATTGATGTGAAATATGCCCTCCTCATTGACTGGGTGAACTCCATTTTCTGCTCCTAATACAGAAATCACTCCAGGTCTGTGGCATAATGATTTACGATGAATCTGTGTCAATGTTGAACTCACAAACCCCACCTAATCCATCTTGCAAAGACCCTCCTCGCTGTGAAGAAATGCTGCATTCTCCATTTATAAGTGTTGAATCTATTACCCCACTGATTGGTAATAACTTTCGGCCTTTGCGCCCCTTAGACAGTGATTACTCGGATACTGATGCTCTTTGAGACCCGGCACCAAAGGTAAAACTCTGTATCAGCAGGGCTAAGTTGACCCACCTTGCTTTCAAAGTTATTACTTTGAAAGTTACAACTATTGTTTAAGGAATAGTTGACTGGAAAATACTGTCATTATGTAAACCAAGAAAGTATTCAATTTGACTCTGAAGCCATAATCGTGTGAGAAACAGAAGATGAATGTGTTATTTTGTTATATGTGTTATTTTGTAATTATACTGACTTCTTTCATAATCTTTCATGATGGAAAGGCGCACCACTGCCCTGAGATATGATTCAATAATTGCAGAATTTTATTTTTGGGTGCAAACAATTCCGTTAAAGGAGAACTCTGGCGCAAAATGAACTTTTGGTCTAATAAAACATTGGTACCATAGTCGACCATTCTCTTGGATTTGTTTTCACGATAATCGAATGTAAAGAGTTTTATCTCTAAAAGCTGTTTAGAGTATAACGCTATATATAGGGCATAGAGTAAGCAAAAAGAAAACGTTAGTTTATACCACTAACAAGGCTCAAAATAGCCCCACACTAACACAGTAACATAATGAGGGTCCCTACATGCAAAACGAAGCATTGAGAACGTTGTAAGTGTATAGACCGTTTAATAAGAAGATACTTTATAAAGACAGTTCACTTCGTGTATACAGGTGGCGCCATCTTTGGAAAACAGTCTCGACAAGTCGAACCACGAACACGTGCCAAGTGAGCTGAACTGTATGAAGTTTCATCGAACTTCTGAACTGTATGAACGGCGTTCGTGGTTCGACTTGTCGAGACTGTTTTCCAAAGATGGCGCCGCCTGTATACACGAAGTGAACTGTCTTTATAAAGTATCTTCTTATTAAACGGTCTGTACACTTACAAAGTTCTAAATCCTTCGTTTTGCATGTAGGGACCCTCATTATTTTACTGCGTTAGTGTGAGGCTATTTTGAGCCTTGTTAGTGGTATAAACTAACGATTTCTTTTTGCTTACTCTATGCCCTATATAGCGTTATACTCTAAACAGTTTTTAGAGATAAAACTCTTTACATTCGATTATCATGAAACCAAATCCCAGAGAACGGTTGACTAGGTACCAATGTTTTGTTAGACCAAAAGTTCATTTTGTGCCAGAGTTCTCCTTTAATATATAAAAAGAAAGTATAAAAAACACTATGTTTCCATGAAGAACCTTTAACATCCATGGAGGCTTTCCATTGCACAAAAGCTTCTTTAGATTATTAAAATGTTCTTCACACTTAGTTCTTTTGGGAACCAAGAATGATTCTTCTGTGCCATTTGCTGTGAAAACTACCTTTTGGAAACGGTGTAGTTTCCTGAACATTCCCATTTGAATATTTCATTGTGTTTCGTTCACACGGGACAGCGGTTCTATGACTTCCTGTGTATTCCACGGTGACACCCCTGACAAACATTTATCTTGTGTTAAATCATGCGCTTCTGAGCCGGAATAAGTAACTGAAGTCACAGAGAGTGCGTGAAGCCGTCATGTCGTGTCACTGTTGTGTCAGCAAAGCATCTGTCAGAGTCACATTTCAGAGGAAAGGGGAAACGTCTCTATTGACTTCATCTGTTTGTGTGGCAGGATGCCTGATTGCTGAAACACTGCCAAATCACCCTGGGTAATCCCGCTCGATGGAGTCCCACCGAACGCTGGGGTTCACAGTGCATGCATGCAAGAAAACAGCCTGTCACCACAACAACACTGCTGACAAAAAGCCACCTAGCGTGATGTAGTAAATATTTGAGCAATCACAGCAGGCGTGGAGGAGGAACAATCAGCAAGGAAAATCTAAACTTGACCAATTTTTTTCTAGGAAGCTACACTAACCCAAGCCAACTTAAAATAGTTCTTCGAGTCATTCTCACACTGCAAAGTAATTAGCATATGAATAACTGAGTATGAGATATGTGTTCGCTCAGAGATCCGCCTACTGGAGTCTCTTAAGGTACCCAACTTTGAAGTTGGCGATTTCCTCAACTTCTAGATTGGCTTTGCTGAGAAAACTGTGCCACTCAATTATACCTGTTATTCATCAAGGAGAACAAATTGCTGGAAGCAGGCGAGCGGGCAGCGAGGGAGGGTTACCTGTAGCTAACAAAAAGCCGCAGAAGGCCCCTCGTGGAGCGGCGCGACTCTGCTCTCTGTGTTCTTACCATTTGGTTTTTGTTATGGAATTAAAATTTCACACCAAACGGGTAGAAGGAAACGTGGTGGAATAGGAAACCTGTAATTAGCACTAATGAGCTTATTCTTGGGGTCTGTGATTGGAATAAAAATGCGAGACTTACTGATTCTTTTCCCATCTCGACTTTAATGGCCAGCAAAAGAAAGGTGTCACTTTGAACCACGGCGCAGCCACAATGCACATCAGTAACTGATCAAATCTTCAAAGAAAGCTTGCGGCAGTCTCAGCTGAATATATAAAAAAACGTAATAAGTCCCTCTTTGAAGCCGAGAGAAAGCCCCCCTACTTCTCAAGCGGACCATGAAAACTGGACGAACCCTGGCGACCTGGATGATTAATGGCGTTTGGGTTATTTTTGACGATTTTTTTCTCAGATTCGTACTCCTTTTTTAGCTCGCTCTCTGATCAACATGCTGACGGCACTTGTCGTCTGTTTTATCAGCAGGGAGATGTTGTTTCAGTCGTGCTAAGTCGAGGGACATTATCAGGGCAGCGCGAAGGTGGCACGGATAAATAAACTCATTAAAACAACAGGCCTCGTGATTAACGATGTGTAATTGCTTTGATAGAAATGAAAACAAACATCATTTATAGCACGGCGAGAGAGAGAGAGAGAGAGAGAACAGTGGGGCGGCTTATGTAGGCTAATGCACATCTGGAAGGAACTGTTCAACCACTGAAATATGCAGGTGTAATCAGTAGCAAATGTCCACACCGACATGTTTCAAGTTCATAAATATGTATCTCTCAAATAAGAGGAATGTTGTTTTCTCTGGGCCTGGGAGCTGTTAGGTAACTAACTAATAACATATTTTTGAAGTAAAAGGCCATCGCAGTGTCTGCTGGGAAGACCGGAGCG